AAACACTGGGGACTGAAATTGAGCAAATTGAATTCCATGCATGTATGATTATGTCAAAAATAAAAGCATTTTTATATTTATGTTTTTAATTTTGTTTATAATTTTAATTTTAGCACATGACAGTAAGGTATATTTTGTAATATTATACATACATAGAATAAGTGTAACTTGTTCCAATTAGGATCTCATTATTGTGGTGTACATAATGTGGAGTTACATCGGTCATGTATTCATATATGAGGATAGGAAAAATATGTCTAATTCATTCTACTACCTTTCCTATTTCCATCCTCCTTCCTTCCCTTCATTCCCCATTGTCTAGTCCAATGAACTTCTGACCTTCCCCTCCCCTGTTGTGGGTTAGCATCCACATATCAGAGAGAACATTCTGCCTAATAAAAGCATTTTTTTAAAAAAAGAAATATTTCTTGGTGCTAAAAATAGAATTGAAAGTGACATAGTAAGAAGAAAGACCACACATAAGAAAACTTCCCCAGAATAAATATTAATACAAGTACTAATAAAATTACTAGACTTAAAAAACAAATGAGAGATCCTCTGAGAATTGCATGTTCCTTATTTCCTTAGTTCCATTTGAAAAAACCTGAAAACATCATGAATCCAAAAATGATGAGCCTCTCTAGCACTTAGTTTGTTTCTGAACAAACATCTTTTTCTCACTAAAAGGATCAAATTTCTAAGATAAAGGATTACTTTCAAGTCTGAAGAATTAAATGTATGAGATGATTTCAGAATATCTTGTCATTATCAGATAATAAGGCAGGTATTAAAGGCTACAGCTCTGGATTGAAAAGAATCCAGAGACAAACTGAAGAGAATTCTAGGGTCCAAAGATAGAAAATTTTGATCAAGAAGAGGAATTACTGCAATGTATTAGAAAACATAAAATACATTTTTGTTGGTGAATTTATATGAATATACTAGCTTGTTAGAGTCTGTAAACAAGTCAGGATGGCGCCTAGCAAATGTTAGAGTCTTTAAACAAGTCTGGATGGCGCCTGGCAAAATGCCAGAGGGAGTGGTTTGTGAAGTAACACCAGCGAGCCATTAAGTGTGGAGATTCCTTATTGGTTAACTGCTGTATCTAGTTTATGTTAATTAGATAATCTGTGTGAAATGTATAAATACCACTCCTGTCCTACAATAAATGGCTCCCACTCCTGCTGTATCAACATACACAATTTGTTCGTCACCCCCCGGTTATTTTGCTGCAGCCGGACTGCGGCACTAGCTATTGATAATCTGCCTATAAACATGGCACCTGTTTGAGTTCTCATGCCTTGAAGAATTGTATATACTTCACCGCTGCATGACCTCTGCTAGTAGCACTCTGGAATTGTTTTAGTTAAGTCTTTTAGATGATAGAATGTATTATCAATATGGATCCAGTTGTCAGGTATTTTTTCAGTTTTTGAAGAAATAAATTTTGAGGAGATATAAGAAAAGAATGCATCTTATGAAATGTTACAGCGAAGTCTACCATTGACCTTTGACTATTAGGAGTTTTAAGGGTGTTAAAATCTGTAACAGACAGTTCAGGGAATTAACCAGAGAGTTGTGAGCTCACCAAACACATTTCAGTACAGATTTTGTCTCTATTAACTGAACTTAAAGGAAGAAGTTACATCGTTAAAGTTTGAGTGGAAGAGCCTGCCATTGCTGTTCCACATCTGGTTGTTGCTTTTTACATTCCTTTATTGAGTCTGTATTTTCATAAGTTTTTATGAGGTAAATGTTGAACCCTTCTACTTCATGGTCAAGATAGAATCAGAGGCCATTGATACGGGCAACTTACTTGTGTGTTTTCTTCTTTTTCCATGACCATACCTACTGCCTTGTCTTGACTTATAAGCAAAACTAGAAAACCTACAAAATAAATGCTTTGTGATTTATCTAGAAATAATACAGAAAATATTGTTACTATTTTTGGCAAAGAAAATCAATTTGTATAGTTTATTTCAATCTACATATATGTGAATTTTGTTTAAGAAAAAGAAAAATAATTTACCACCTTTGTAAAATAATAGAACATCAAATAATCGTTTTGAAAATTAGAAAATGAAGGTGATTTGTTTTTATCTTAATTATGGTGGTATACATTAAAATATTCAGTTAATAAAATGACATAAAACAAAATATACATACATATATACCTACACACAAACAACTAAAATGAGGAGACTCTAAATAAAATCAATAGATTGTGTTAATGACAGTATCCTGGGTGTGATATTGTTTTTCAAAATAGTATTTGTATGGGGAAAATGACATAAAGGATACAACATAGGATCTGGCTATACTGTTTCTTACAACTGCATGTGAATCTACAATAATCTCCAAATAAAGACTTTAGTTTAAGTCTCCTCATTAACAATGTATTTTTGATAATATAATGCTGAATTATATTGTCATTGAAGAGGAAATTTTCTTATGAACTCACTTCCCTTATGAATGAGCACATATAGATGAGGAGATCCTATGAATCTACTTCTGCTGCTCCTCAACCTCCCGCCATTCTACACTGTCTACATGCACAGCAGTAGGAAGACAAATCAAGGGATTAGCATTCTTTTACTAAACTACATAGTTTGTCTTACTAAAATCTTTGGATTCATTTTCAAAACCCTTTAAAATAAACATCTCAAAGCTAGTTGATGGTGCATACTAATAAATACTAATAATGAGTAACTACCATAATGGTAATAAATGATGATGATGATGGTAAGGATTGAGATGGTTGTGGAGATGCAAATGAGAATGAGGTTGTTGTACTAAAATATTTTAATAGTAGCTTTAGATTCTAAGTTTCCCTAGCCACAAGACAACACTACCAATATAAGAAAAATTAACAATCTTGGGAAATAAAACATGATTCACAGAGCAGGTATAAACCAAGACTCTAATTGTCCCTTTAGTGAGGACTATAATCTCCAGAGTAATTGCATCCCATGAGATGTTCTGCAATATCAATTTAAACAGAACCTGAAGTCTTCTTATCTCCGTGACCCATTTTTCATGACTGTACTAGACCTTTTAAGTTAATTTAAACTAGCTATATATCTGTATACTTTTAGCATTTGCTAACTGTTGAAGCCAAAGGCATCTCACAAAATTTCCAGGAGAAGGTTTTTCATTTTCCCTCAGCACAGGTATTTCATTACATATCTAAAACAAATGTATTCCTCTAGAGGAGATGGCTTATTTGGGGGTGGAGGGTGTTAGCATCTGGCACTTTACAGTGATGAGGCCAGCATTAGGCTTTAAATTTTTTTAAGATAGGAAAGATAGAGCCATCACTGGGATATTTTAGAATTCCAAAGACTTCACAATGAAATATCCTTTGTCATATTATTTTAATAATATGGCTTCAAAAAATTTTGCTTTAACATCTAAAAAAATCATTTTCTCATTTCAAATAAATTAAGTGTTCTGGTAAATAACACATTTGCCTATGACCTTTTAAAACGTTATTGTGTTAAAATAGTATACCTACACTTAATCAGAGTGAACTATGCTGTAATGTATTTATAAATAGTGAACTCTCTTTCTGAAATTAACAAAATATTTTTTGCAATTTTCCCAAAAAAATGTATAAGAAAAATCTTTCTTCCATGAATGAACTCTTATTTATAATGGAAGCTACTTACAACCATATTCCATGCAAACAAATGCATGCATAGAAAATATATGGAAGGATATTCATCAACCAGCATTAGGCTCCATATAGCAGAAAAATGAGTTTTGTTTTGGCTTAGTCACATTTCTAATTTACTATAATTGCATGTATATTGCATTTACAACATAAAATATATGTATAGAAATTAAAAACAAGATCGCTCTTCTATCAGAATTATAATAAATTCATTTTACTAAATAATAGGGAATTTATACATAAAGACGATTTGCAATAAACAATACAGTTTTGTGGAGACAAAACAGACTGATAGTGAGGATCTTGAATTTTAGGACCAGGTGTCTGTTTCCAACTAGCTGGGATACCTTGAGTAATTTACATAACTTTCAGAGCTTCAATTTACTATACGATTAAAAAAAAAAAAAGCAAAACAAACCACAGCAGTCCTCTTTCTGTGCACTAAGCACATATAAAGATGTCAAGTGTAAGGCGTGTCACAATCACACATTTCTAAAGGTGCAAAAGTGCAAATTCAAAAAGGCTACACATGGAAGACATGGGAAGAAGCTTGCAACCAGTAGAGAGCAGAGGTAAGTTTGATTCTCAGTTACCAATAATTAGTAGGCCTTGAGCAAGTCACTTAATATCTGGCAACCATTTTCTCAATATGACATGGGAATAAAAATTCTGCTCCAAACAGATTATAACCCCACAGCCAAAACTTTTAGAAATTACTGCAATTGGCTTTGAAAGACATGTGTAAACCATAGAGGATTGAACAATTACTCGTCACTCAATGATATGTGACTACCATATCACCCTAACACTGCCTCAGTTTCCAAGCCTTCATATTCACTAAATGTTTAGATTTTGCATAGATTAAATTCCATTTGAAAAATAAATTCAATCTCCAACTGAAAAATAGGAAAGTATACTATTAATTGCCTGTAGGAGAGGTTCTCAAAGTTTGGTATGCATCAACATCAGGAGAGATTACTGAAACTATGAATTTTCCAGAGATTGCTGGGCTCCATTCGAGAGACCTTGATTAGTGCTATGGGATGAGACCTACAAGCTCCAAGAAAAGGCAAAGCTGTTGGTCCAAGAACAACATGTAGGTTCAATGATCTAGGATTTCTTAGGAGAGTGTTAAGAGTTCAAGATCTTGGTCCCTTTCCTCTCATCTTCAAGATCTCTAAAATACTCCCTTCACTCACCAAACAGCAGGAGTGAGGGGAAGTTATATAGGCCACAGACAGGATGGCTCAGCAGATACCAAATGCAGAAAACAAGCTTCCCCAGGCTGTGCAGAGGCAGCCTCTCACAGGTTCTTCTTTACCATCCTCAAAGGCCTCCTACCCAGAGAAATGGCTGCAGAAAATGACTCCACAGTGACAGAGTTCCTTCTTCGGGGATTAACAACCCAGCCAGGGCTCCAGCTCCCCCTCTTCATCCTCTTCCTGGGGATCTACGTGGTCACCATGGTGGGGAACCTGGGCATGATCACCCTCATTTGTCTCAACCCTCAGCTTCACACCCCCATGTACTTCTTCATCAGCAACTTGTCACTCGTGGATCTCTGCTACTCCTCTGTCATTACCCCTAAAATGCTGGTCAACTTTGTGTTCCAGAAGAACATCATCTCCTATGTGGGGTGCATGTCTCAGCTCTACTTCTTCCTGGTTTTTGTCATTGCTGAGTGTTACATGCTCACGGTGATGGCCTATGACCGCTATGTAGCCATCTGCCACCCTTTGCTTTACAATGTCATCATGTCCCATGCCCTCTGCTCTGTGCTGGTGGCTCTGGTCTATACTATGGGACTCATTGGTTCAACAATAGAGACTGGCCTCATGTTAAAACTGCGCTATTGTGAGCCCCTCATCAGTCACTACTTCTGTGACATCCTCCCCCTGATGAAGCTCTCCTGCTCCAGCACCTATGATGTAGAGATGGCAGTCTTTTTCCTAGCTGGATTCAATATCATAGTCACAAGCTTAACAGTCCTTATTTCCTATGCCTTCATCCTGTCCAGCATCCTCCACATCAGCTCCACAGAAGGTAGGTCCAAAGCCTTCAGCACCTGCAGCTCCCACCTTGCAGCCGTGGGGCTGTTCTATGGATCCACTGCATTCATGTACTTAAAGCCCTCCACTGCCACTTCCCTGGCCCAGGAGAACGTGGCCTCTGTGTTCTACACCACAGTGATCCCCATGCTCAACCCTCTGATCTACAGCCTGAGGAACAAGGAGGTAAAGGCTGCCCTGCAGAAGACACTGAGGAGGAAACTCTTTTGATGCAATGTAATTGTTCTTCTCAATATAAAAACAAGTTGTTATAAATATCAGAAGGATGCCCTCTGCATGCCTACCCAATTGAGATGGGAAACAATCACTTCTCTATGTGGTTGAGAGAGTGCCTTCTCTCCTTTCCATTTCTTCCCTTCCTCTCTTCTCTCATTTTGTTTGAAATTATCCAATTTTCAAGTTCATATTCTTTCTTGTGAGATCCATTTGCTCTAACTTGAGCCCTTCATTAAACATTATTTTCATTAATTCTAAGTTAACAAAAATTAAATTTCCAATATTGAGTGTGAGAGTCACTCATGATCTTACTACATTCAACATAGAAAATATTATTCAATTCCTTTGGGGCACCTGGGAACATTTAAGGTAAAGAGAATTGAATTTAAAAGGACCAACTAGTGATACTCAGTCATTTTCTAATCCAGATTGCTCCCTTTCCTCTCTTCTACTCCTCTATAATATTTCTACCCAAGAATTTCTGATTCCTTTATGTAATTTTTTTAGTAACAGCAACAATAATAATAACACCATTAACATGTTTTGGTGCTTACTCTCGGCCACGCAAATCTTCTCAGTGCTTTCTGTTCTGTTTCAATGGCATCTTATCACAGATACATACTGTGGTGGCCTTACTATATAGATATAGAAACTTGGTTTAGTAACCTGCTTGAGGTCCCACAGATGATAAGTAACATAAATCAGACTTCAGCCTCAGTGACTAGAGAGCCTGCACTCCGGGCTCTCACACATTGTCCCCTTCAGTTTAAGCTGACAGTCCCTTTCAACAGTCTACTAAGACTGCCCTATCTATGTTCTTCCAATTTCAAATGCCTCCAGATAATAATTTCTCAACACCCCTCCTTTTGTAACCTGTCTAAACCTCTTTGTCTTTATTTGCAACATCTTCAAGTTAGCAAAATATTACACCAGAATGACTCTTTCAGTTTTAACAGTGGAAGCCCCACATCCTGGGAAAATCCTTAGTCCCACATAAACCAGATTGGCTGGCCACTCTAGGACACACATTGCTGTAAACTCTGTTTTGCTGCCTAAACCATTGATCTACAGCCAACCTCACTCAGTGAATCCAATTGCCATGAGACATGGTTCATTCCCTAAGTGCTTATAATAGTATCAAAGATACTTGTTTTAACCAAGATGGGGTAAAGGATTTATGGGCGTCCTCTTGTCATTTAGAACAATTTTGGATATACAATTGTAAAAAAAAAAATAGTGGTTTAATATGGGAAATGGTAATAAATAGTTGTCTCAGGCAGAATTACATGCTCATAGCTTTTGAGTCACTAGAGAAGGTGTGAGGGAGCCCCCAGAGTGATTCCATATCTAGGTAGATATGACCTAGAAGTCAGGAAGCTCCAGCTTCCTCTATCACTGCAGCAACCATAAAGAATACTTCTCACAACATGACACTGGAATATAAATGACAGAATCCTGGAATAAGCATCACCCAGAAATATGATAGAAATGCAGATCTTCAGATGCTACTCCACACCTACTGAATTACTGGGTAGAGTCCAGCAATTTGTTTTAACAAGCCCTCAGGTGATTCTGATTACACTGGAGGGGGAGAACCTCCAACTCCCACCTTTCAAATTTCACACAAGTACATTTAATTAGTGGAAGCTAATTTCTAGGGTGCTACATGCAAGAAAAATACAGTTTTTTTTATTTTTTAACCTGAAAAGAAGTTGAATCAAAGGGCTATTAAGAGCACCATACCTAAGTAGCTTCTCTCCTCATTTTCTCCAGAACTTTTTCAGTATGAAATGAGATCTCTACCACTATAGATCCTCTCTAAATAGAATTAAATGTAGAAAATATATCTGTTTATTTGTAGGTAAGAAATCATAAAGCAAAGAAATAATGGATTTTTATTATACACAAATATAAGTTTTGTTCAGCAAAGGATAAAAGTGATAGATTTAATAGCCAAATAATGCAATGGGAGAATAAATACAACAAAATGGGAGAGCATTTTATATCCAAATAGCACACATGATAAACTCCAGCAAATCACAAGTGTCATGTTGGGGGGTAGGGGTAGACCCAGGAAAGAAGGTTCAGGGCTCAGCAGGTGGTATAAGATGTAAGATACAGGATAGTGAAATGCTTTATTCAGAGGTGGCAACAGTCTCAAGCTTTAGTCCCCAGCCAGATCCATTTTGTCCCCTATTAGCCCACAAGTCTTTCCCATAGGCCCTTTTTATATGCAGGCCAAATAAAGACGGCACACTGCTAACAGGTTACATTAGTGAGGGTATACTCCCAAGCAAGTGTTTATGTCCTTGAGTATATGCATTGAATCAGTGTTTCTGACCTTGACTGCATAATATAGCCAATTCATGGCCTTGGATACATACTACAAACATAACATAAAACATAGCAAATCCTGCCTAAAGCCTCAGCAAGGGAGCCTAATTTTAGCCATTTTGGGCCTGCCCCCCAAAAAAGACATCAACATCATCAGAAAAAAAAATGGAAAAGGCATGTAGAACATTCAATTTATGGAAGAAAAGGCCTGAAGTACCACCAATCACATTAACAGGTTCTCAAACCAATTGCTAAACATAGAAGTGCAAATTAAAACAGTGAAATATCTTCTTACATCTATAAGCCTGGCAAAAATTAAAAAGCTTGGTGGTAACATGCATTACTGAGGAGGTTGGGATTTAAGAACCCTCATGAACTGTGGCTGTTCTGTAAAGCAGGAAGACATTACTTAACAAGAAATAAGTCTATGTTTCCACAGGACCTGGCAATTTCTGACTGGGGCATGGACCCCAAAAGCATTCTCAGTCCCAGTAGAGGTCATGTAAAAAGATATACACTGTTTTAATTGAAAGAAAATCAGAGATAAACTATGTGTCCACCATTGGTAAAGTAAATAGATCAATTGTATTGAAGACATTGCATCAATAGAATTACCTATAAGTAATGTAGCTTAGAGTTATGGTGTTTAGTGAGAAAAGCAAGAAAGAAGTAAAATACAATATTGTTTATATAAATATTAAAATTATATGCAGTGAAATAATGATATGCAATACCAGGCACTGTGACACAAGCATGCAGTCCCAGCTGTACAAGACCAAATATCACTTGAGCTCAGGAGTTAAAGACCAGCCTAAGCAACATAGTGAGAACTTGCCTCAAAAAAGTAATAATTGATTAATTGAAAAATTAATTTACATGCTAACAATCCCAGAAAAAGCAAATTTAACATAAAAAAAACAAACATAACATATATTATACATTAAGTGGGTTAAGATGGTTTTTCAAAGAAACAATATGGATGGAAGTAGGAAATGGGGGGATTAACAAAGAAAGACCACATTCTGGACAATAAAATATATATTGACAAATTTTTTAAAGTAAAAATAACAATGTCTGCTTTCAGACCACAAATAAATTGAACTAGAAATCAATTTAGAAACATAACTGGAAAATCCCAGTGTATTTGGAGATTAAACAATACACTTCTAATAAATAATACATGAGTCAAAGAAAAAAATCTCAAGAAAATTTTTAAATATTTAAAAAATATTTTAACTAAAGGAGACTTAAACAATATATTATCAAAAGATGTAGGATGTAATGAAAGGAGTGCTTACATTATTGAAATACAGATAACAATCAGAAACTCTTTTGAAAATTTATACTCCAATAAAATAGAAAATCTTGAAGATGATGACAAATTTCTAGAGACATATGACCTATCCAAATTAAATCAGGAGTACATAGACTATTTAAACAGATAAATTTCAAGCAATGAAATTGGAGACAACTTCAAACCAACAAAGAAAAGCCCAGGAACAGATAGATTCCCAGCTGAGTTCTACCAGAACTTCAAAGAAAAACTAACAACAATCCTCCTCAAATTATTCCACAAAATAGAAAAAGGAGATAACCCTTATAAACTCATTCTATGAAGCTAGTATTACCCTGCTATCAAAATCAGATGAAAACACATCAAGGAAAGAAAATTTCATCAATATCCCTGATGAGCAGATTTAATGCAATTCCAATCAAAATCCCAATGACATTCCTCATAGAAATAGAAAAAGCAATCATGAAATTCATCTGGAAAAATAAGAGAATTATTAAATAGCTAAAGCAATCCTTAGCAGGAAGAGTGACGCAGGTGACATCACTATACCAGACCTTAAACTATACTACAGAGCAATAGTAACAAAAACAGCATAGTATTGGCACCAAAACAGAGTGGTAGACCAATGGTACAGAACAGAGGACACAGAGACTAACCCACTATATTACAATTATCTTATATTAGACAAAGGTGCCAAAAACATGCAATGGAGAAAAGATAGCTTCTTCAATAAATGGTGCTTGGAAATCCATATGCAACAAAGTGAAATTAGACACCTATCTCATACCATTGCACAAAATCAACTCAAAATGTATCAAGGACTTAAGAATAAAATTAGAGATCCTGCATCTAATAGAAGAAAAAATAGGCCCTAATCTCCATCATGTGGGAATAGCTTCAAAAATTCTTAATAAAATATTGGTACATTGCCTAGAAAAAGGTAGTGCAACATGATCAAGTGGGGTTCATCCCAGGGATGCAAAGTAGGCTCAACATACAGAAATCAATAAACATAATTCATCACATCAATAGATCTAAAGACAAGAATCATATGATCATCTCAATAGATGCAAAAAAAGCATTTGACAAAATATAGCACCCCTTCATGTTCAAAACACTATAAAAAGTAGAGATAGTAGGAACATACCTCAACATCATAAAAGCTATATATGCTAAACCCAAGGCCAACATCATTCTAAATGGAGAAAAATTGAAAGCATTCCCACTAAAAACGGAGAAACACAAGGATGCCCTCTTTCACCATTTCTATTCAAAGTGGATCAAGGACCTAGGCATTAGACCAGAGACCCTGCACCTACTAGAAGGAAAAGGAGGCCCAAATCACCATCATGTCAGCTTAGGAACT